TGGAAAGGAGAGCCCTGTTTGTTGACTTTTGAGAATGACCACCAGCACAGTAACAATTATGTCTCCCCCATCCTGTATACACTTGTATTTTTTATAATTAAAAAACACCACAAGGATCCCCCTTTAAGAAAAAGACTCCAATGGCAACTAACCTAAATACAAAAAAAAAAAATCATTGATAGAGATTTAAAGATGTTCTTGATCAGGAATGTAGTGTTCTGGTAACGTCAGGAAGATTCATTTTTCTTCAGGGCCTTCATGAACTTCCTCTGAGATCAGGTGATTCCAGGGGCCACCTGGCTATTTCTAGAACCTCCATTTTTCAAACTGGAAGTGCTTCAAGGTATTTGTTACATATTGTTCCAGACTAAGCCTGGTTTAGGTTGAGATTGCCCCAAGAAAAAAAAAAATCAAGTTACACCTGCTGAAATGACAGGTAGTCCTCAACGTACAGCAGTTCGTTTAGCGCTTTGCTTGCTTTGAAGTAAAAGTTACACTTTTTTTTAAATAACAATTCAATATTTACATACATGGTGTGTTGTGAGTTAATTTTGTGAGTTTGCTTGTGAGCAAATTTTATGTGACAGACTCAGATAGCCGATTGCAGATAGATAGATCTCTAAGTGAATTTGTGATTCTGTGAGCAATTCAATCTGCCTGCCTGCTTTGACTGCTTTTGGGTAAAAGTTGCTCTTTTTTAATAAAAAAAATCAATATTTCCATAATTATTTATAATATTTACATACAAGCCATGTCCACCCAGTCACATGACCACCAAGCCCCACCCACAAATTAGGCCACACCCACAGAACTGTTTGTTTATAAATTTGAATCCCACCCCTGGGTGGAACCATAACTGGAAGAGGCAAATTATGCACGTTGGAGATTATTTTGTCAGGGTAACCTGTTCTGAAAGAGCTCAAAGAGGTCAGGATGCATTCTTAAAACCATAAATCTGTGAGTGGGTTTGTTTGGGCAAAGAGGGAGGGTGTGGACAAAAAACCCTCAAATCCAGCTGATCAGGCTGGAGTACTTTCAACCAGGAAAAAAAATTGCAAACAAGCCAAAAATTGTTGTATGGAATGCTGCCTCTAAACATTCTTTCAGTTCCAGGGGAAAGGCCACGAAGTTCCCTTACCTGGATAACTATCATGGGCCCAGTCACATTTTACATTCTTCCAACAAGCAACAAGTCAACGGGGAAGCCATATTTAGTTTGCAACCGTGTTACTAACTTAATAACCTAGAACTAAGGAGAAATTTCCTGACAGAACAATTAATCAGTGGAACAACCGTCACCAGAAGTTGCGGGTGCTTCATCACTGGATCATTCACAAAGCTTGTAAAGGGTTGTTGTTATGTAGCTTTTCTTTCACAGATTTTCATGGGAAGGAGGATAATTTAGGTACAAAAAGGGTCTGCTGAGAGATAGAAGAAAAAGGCTTTCCACATTGTCCCTTGTTAAATGTATCATTTAAATATCGGTTTGTGTATTAGGTACAAGTGTAATTCAAGAAGTTAGAACTGTGGTTTGCAGCTGCCAGAATTATTTCCAGCGAGCAATAATGTTGCAAGTCGCATCAGAAATCACAAGGACTTGTGTTTTTTTTTTTTTGCAACTTTAAAATTCCCACAATGAGCTGAACAGATATCGCCTATTTCATAAAGGTATCCAAGAAGATGGTTGACATTTTCTTTCTGTTAAATTTCAAAATACCCCAAGACACAAACTTTTTTCTCATCCCTTAGGCAGAGATCAGAGAAAAGCCAGCACAAAAATACAGTTGAAACCAAGCCCCAAAAGTTGCCAGAATTACCATAATGTCATGTATTCCGCTCTCTTCTTAGAGATGGTTCTGGTAGATGCCACATCTAATGATCTCAAGAGTTATTGACAGTCAGTAACCAGTTAATCAACCCAAAGCAGCATTCTTCTTCTGCCTTAGAGAAATCCAGAAAATAAGTCCACAACTTCATGTACCTATATCCAAGATGACTGTGGCTAGGTGAAAGTTAAAATAAGAGCCTCTGTATCCAAAGTGGCTGAGCATGTTTTTTTATTATTATTATTGAAGTTGTTGCTGCTGCTGCTGTTGTTATTACTACAGTATCTTAAGTTCCCTCGGCCTTATCCCAAAGTGATTCTTGATTCACCTCTTTTCATCTGTATTTCTAGAAGCTGAAAGGATGGAAGATCAACTCAAACATATCTATTCATTCAGAGCAGCATAGACACATAGAGCTAAAACCAACTGTGTATTCAGATTTGGAAGGGCATATCTGACACTGCTTACACCAGTGATAGTCATCTTGGTTCCTACTGCCCACTAGTGGGCGTTCCAGCTTTCATGGTGGGCGGTAGGGATTTTGTCCGATACTGAAGCATTTTCCTGTTTCTGAAGTTCAGTGGCTGTCAAATGTTTGGCTCGTTTTGTAGCAATATATGATAATGTCATACATTTTTTTGAAAGTAATAATGAGACCAATCTGTGTTAACAGTTAAAAACGGTAAAGAATTATGCCTTTTATTTGGCAGATATTTTCAAGAGATTTAATGATGTCAATTTGCAGCTTCAAGGAGCTAATAAAACTCTTATAGGTTGCCAAAGTATTGTGTCATTATTTATTGACAAACTCGAACTACTTTGTTATAATCTATTGAAGAGAGAATTTCATCAGTTTCCTGAATTGTCATCTATAAAAGATGGTATAACTCCAGAGGATACTGACAGATTCAGTAGCCACCTCAACGAACTTAAATTGGACATGGAAAAACGATCTGAAGATATTTTGAAAGTGAAGATGTATGACTGGATGAAAAATCCTTTTACCACAAATATTGAAGAGGTTGATACAACTTGCCAAGAACTGTTAGAAATTAGATATGATGAAGAAAGTAAACATAAATTCGATAGTGGTAGATATGAAAACCTATGGCAAAATTAAAAAATGCCTGTCTTATATAAAACATATGTGGAAAATGATATTCAGTTTATTGATACCTTTCCCTGCCTCATATCTTGTGGAATCAGGCTTTAGTGCTGTTAATCATATTATGACCAAAGAAAGAAACCGCCTGAATATTTCTGAGAGAGGAGAACTTCATGTGTTCCTTACAAAAATTGAGCCAGATATCCAGTATTTAGTTTTGCAGCCTCAGCCTCAGGGATATCATTAATAATTTAATTTATTACATGTAATTTCATCAGACGTCATGTTTTTATGTATGCAAAGTATAAATAAAAAGATAGATTTAACTACAGTAAGTTGTTTTATAGAGATTTATTCTGCCAAACTTAGTGAAAGTCCGACATAAAGTATTTGGTAAGTAGTTATTATCATATGCTTTAACTTGCTGTAACTCTGCTTTATAAATTTTATAAAGTAAAGTTACTGCCCTACTTTATAAATCACCTTTACTGTGGAACTAGTGGGCGGTTTTACCACTAACAGAGATACAAAAGTGGGCGGTAGGTATAAAAAGATTGACTACCCCTGGCTTACACCATCAGTTTATGAAGTTGAATGTTCAGTGGCTAATGTACTTTTTGCTTTTTACTATAACTGATAATCCCTTCTTATGAAAGAACAAAAGGTTTCCTCTGTGAAACTTCATAGAACCTGCAAGAGTAAATAAATACACGTTTGTGTAATTAACATTGTGGATATTTACTGAGTATGTAAAAACAAAACTTATCAAGATATCCTCTTGAACATTCTGTATTTATCTAGTATGCCTCTTTTTAACCTCTTTTATCTGAAGGGTGCTCAACCCTCCAGATTATGCTGGTATGCAGGTAGTCCTCTACTTATGACCATAACTGAAACAAACATTTCCATTGCAAAGTGAGACAACTGTTGCCCCATTTTATAACCATTCTTGCCACAGTTGTTAGGTGAATCATTGCAGTTATTGATTTAGTAACGCAATTGTAAAGTGAACCTGGCTTCCCCATTCATTTGTTTGTCACAAAAAGGGTTCACATAATCCTAGACATTGCAACTGTCTTAAATATATGCCATTTGCCAATTTGATCACGTGATCAATAGGGATGCGGCAAAGGTTGTAAGTATGAAAAATGGTCATAAATCACATTTTTCACTGCTGTTGTAACTTCAAACAATCGCTAAACAAATGGCTGTAAGCCGAGGACTATCTATAGCTTCCACAAATGATTATCCAACATCTTTTTAAAAACTTCCAGTGTTGGAGCAGTCACAACTTCTGGAGGCAAGTTGTTCCACTGATTAATTGTTTTAACTTTCAGGACAGTTCTAAGTTGCTTCTCTCCTTGATTAGTTTCCATCTGTTGCTTCTTGTCCTGCCTTCAGGTGGTTTGGAGAATAGCTTGACTCCCTCCTCTTTGGGGCAGCCCCTGAGATATTGGAACACTGCTGTCATGTCTCCCCTAGTCCTTCTTTTAATTAAACTAGACATACCCAGTTCCTTCATAGGTTTCTGCCTCCAGTCCCCTAATCCTCTTGGTTGCTCTTCTCTGCACTCTTTCTAGAGTCTCAACATCTTTTTTACATCGTGGCGACCAAAACTGAATGCAGTATTCCAAGTGTGGCCTTACCATAGCATTATAAAGTTCATTATCAAGATGAAGCAATGTCTCCACTGACTCTAGCTAGCTTCTTTCCAGATACCCAGAGTGGGGAAGCAGTAGAGCAATTGGCTTCTTTATTCAAGAGGAGAACGGTCTTTTTTTTATTTTTTCCTTTCATCTATGCAATGAATTGAGGAAATTGAGAAAAGAATCAGATTCATCAGAATTCATAGGTCATCAGTTATACATCTATAAGTCTTTTATGGGGACCCCCCAACAAATCCCTTGTGACTATCTCAAAGTTCAAGACCACCACTGGTTGGTTGGTTGATGCCTTCCTTGGCCAATACTCCTAATGAATTGACAATTTATCATTAACAAAACTAAAAACTATCCAAATTAAAAATCTTGTCAATGTTTTTAATCAGTTTTATTTCATGCATAACAGTCTTTAAAAAGTAGATTAACATATTGGAAGTATAAAATGTTCCAGATGGCCTTTTTGCAAGAGAGGTACAGCCCACATCTAGACTCGCGTTGCCAGATGTGGAATTGGGGGGAAAGTTCATCCTCTTGAATGTATGCATCTCTTAAATGTATGCTTTAGATTCTAGAGATCTGGAAAGAAAATTTTCCAATACAAAATGGCTGCTTTGCAACTGCTGCCAGTGACATCTGGACGTGTTTAGACAAATCACAGGGACCTGCAGTTTGAAAGAGCCTGGCTGACGGGCAAGGTTTGATGGGCGCCAAACAGATTACCTGAAGCAAAGGCGAGTTGGAGCACATGCAGCAGAGCAGGATATAATGAGCACTGAAGATAAAAAACTGCATTGTCTTTGATGAGAACTTTGCCTTTCAGTGCAGAGAAGCAAAACCTTGGTTGTCTCACCAGGGAACAAGATTCCCTTCCCAGTTGACAAATGTGCCAGTATTTTTCTCAGAGAGACGGCCAAGGGTGTTCAGAATAGCTCGCAAACTCTGCTCCTTTGTCAATGGGGGTTTTCCCTGGAAAAAAAAACAAGAAATGAAAGATGATAGTGAAAACAGCTTAAAGGCCTAGTAACATCGACTGAGAATTCAAGGCAATAGTTTAATACGTTATATCGGCAAGAAAATGTTATTAGACAAGAAATTATATCAAAGAACAAGTTTTGCTGAAATGGAATCAGACTAGGTTTTGGAAAGGAGAGGCCATGTTTAATTATTCAAAATTTATCACTAAATTATCGAACAGATATGCTTTTACATCATCATCAAAATTAACAGAACTACTCATGACCTAATTTTGTTGCCTTACCAGTGAGAGGGTCGGCATATAAATTTAATAAATAAATAAACTGACACGTTTTGAAGGAATTGGTCACTGCCTCATAAAGAACCACCAGAAGTTTATAGAATTGAAGAGCCTCAATTTCACATGACTAATTTTTGGTCCAGTGTGTTCCATTAAGCAGAAACTTTAGGTTTCTACCCATTTTCTGACAGGAATGATATATTCTTTCTACACTGAATACAGTGGTACCCTAGTATCCAACTGGTTTGAAACTGATTGAATTTGATACCCAATGCATTTTGATACAAAAATGTTGTCCCAGGACTCATTATTTGGCACTCAATGCACAAACTTGAACTTGTTGATGTTGGCAACATTATTCCTTATGGAAAAAATTTGTTCGGTACTCATCGTGCCTCCTGGAATCAATTAAGGATGAGTACCAAGGTAACACTGTAATTTTAAAAACCCTATTCAATAGCAGCTCACATAAATTAACTGATAGTGATATAGAAAAGTTGAGCCCGAAATATAATATTCTGGTGATCACATTCAGATTCCTTCAGGACCAGACTGAAACCACTTGTGGGACCACAGGATTCCAGGGGCCATCTGGCTGTTTCTAGAATTTGAATCTATCAAGGGGGAAGAGTTTCATGGTATTTGGTACATATTATTTCAGACACAGCCTGATTTAAGATGAGGCTATGTCAAGAAAAACCCAAGCACTACTTCCTGAAATTGTTTAGAGCAGGGGTCGCCAACCTTTTGGACCCCAGGGACCCCCAAACTCATAATTTTAAATCCCAGGGACCACTAACCGGTTCTGTGGGCATGGCCTAATTTGTGGGTGTGGCTTGGTGGTCATGTGACTGGCTGGGCATGGCTTGTATTTAAATATAAATATTTGTATAAATATTGATTTTTTTTATAAAAAAAGAGCAACTTTTACCCAAAATCAGGCAAAGCAGTCAGGCAGATTGAGCTGCTCACAGAGTCATAGATTCATTCAGATAGCTATCATTGCCATCAGCTAGCTCAGTCTGTCACATAAAATTTGCTTGCAAGCAAACTCACAAAATTAACTCACAACACACCATGTATGTAAATATTGAATTTTTTTATATAAAAAGAGCAATTTTTATCCAAAATCAGGCAAAGCAGGGCAGGCAGATTGAGTTGCTCACGGAATTATTCAGTGATCTATCTATCTGCCCTTCGCTAACTTAGTCTGTCATATAAAATTTGCTTGCCGTGAGTCTGCACTGAATAATAGAACCTTCAGTCCTAAGGGAGGTTCGGCTGTGCTTAAAAGCAAAACCAAAGATCTGTAGACTAGCTAGGAAGCAAGAAATCCAGCCATTTCCTGCTTCCTAGCTAATCTAAATCTCCAGCATAGCAGAACAGCTGATGGTCAGAAAAAGGTAAAATAGCAATTTAGCAGGCAAGTTTGCTGGGTAAGAAGTGAGTGGGCCGGGAAGGTTCCTGCGGGCCATGTGGGCGGTGCAGCCTTGTGTTTCTGCACAGCCCGGATTAATTGCTTTGGGGGGGATACTCTGGGGGTGAGATTTCTCTGCAGCCCACCAAAAATTTTCTCACAGCCCACTAGAGGGCCGTGGCCCACTGGTTGGCAGCAACTGGTTTAGAAAAACTGTTGGACCATCCCTGGAATAGCAAGATCCATGAATAGATTCAGCATGGTCTGGAGGTGCTTTTTTTTTAAAAAAAATACTCCATTTCTAGTACAGATTATTTGGTCCATGTTTACTTCCACTGTATAAAATTTAGGTGTTTTTCCCCCCTCCAATCTGCTTACCATTAAATTTCCCATGTCGGTCTGTACCCATCCAGGATGCAACGCAACGCACAAGATCTCATCTTTGGCAAGGTGCAAGGACTGGCATTTGGACAGCATATTCAGAGCAGACTGTGAGGGAGAGAAGGAAGAAGAAAATGAAGGAATGCTTCATCTAAGTTCTCCTGAATGCCAGACCATTCAAATGTGCTCTTCTCCTAGTTGGGATAACGACAGAATTGACCCTTACATTCTCAGATCATGGGTTCATCTGTACCTTACTACAGCGATAAGCAATGACGTGGCCCCGCTGCCATTCAAGGACGCTTGTGATGGAACCTGCTTCACTGGAAATGTTGACGATGGCTGCTTTACTGCAGCTCATGCCTTTCAAGGGACTTTCGTGAGCTGCTTTTCTCAGCAAAGGAATGAACACCTGGAGAATGAAAGGAACAAATGAAGGGCAGTCAAATCTTCAGCAATAGGAATAGAACAGAATAGAACCTTGGAGGTTTGATTTGATTTGATTTATTTGATTTGTCAATCGTTTACAAGATAATAGGTATAAGTATAAACATAGTTATGAATACATGAAATGGATACATATAAGAAAAATAAAAGAAACAATAGGACAGGGACTATAGGCAGGTTGGTGCGCTTATGCACGCCCCCTACAGACCTCTTAGGAAAGGGACAGTCTAAGATTAAAGTTTTGAGGGTTTGGGGAAGAAACCACAGAGTCAGGTAGAGTATTCCAGACATTGACCACTCTGTTGCTGAAGTCGTATTTCCTGCAATCAAGTTTGGTGTGGTTTACCTTGAGTTTGCATCTACTGTGTGCTCTTGTATTGTTAGGGTTGAAGCTGAAGTATTCATTGACAGGTAGGACATTGCAATGTATGATTTTATATACCATACTTAGATCGGACCGAAGACGGCATAGTTCTAGGTTTTCTAGGTCCAGAATTTCAAGTCTGGTGGCATAAGGTATTCTGCAATGAATAGAGGAGTGGAGAACTCTTCTTGTGAAATATTTCTGGACTTTCTCAATTGTGTTAATATCAGATACGTAATGCACATTCCAGACTGATGAGCTGTCTTCGAGTATTGGTCTAGCAAATGTTTTGTATGCTCTAGTTAGTAGTGTGATATTACCAGAGAAAAAGCTACGTAAGATTAGGTTAACAACTCTTAATGCCTTTTTGTCTATGTAGTTACAGTGGGCTCTAGCGCTTAGATCATTTGAGATGAGTACTCCAAGGTCCTTGGCAGAGTTTGGATCATCATGGTTCATCATGGTCTTCTAGTCCAGCCCCTGCTCAAGCAGGAGTATCTGTACAATCTCAAACAAGTGACTATCCAGCCTCTTCTTGAAAACCTCCAGTGTTGGAGCACCCACAACTTCTGAAGGCAACTTTGTTCCACTGGTTGATTGTCCTTACTGTTAAGGAAGTTTCTCCTTAATTGCAGGTTGCTTGTCTCTTTGATCCGTTTCCAACCATTGTTTCTTGTCCTGCCCTCTGGGGCTTTGGAGAATAATTTGACCCCCTCTTCTTTGTGGCAGGAGAGTTGGGACATCTCCCAATCAAGAAAAATTCCCCCCCAAAACCCCAAAGATTTGCCAATAACTTACTGGAAGATGTCACAATAGTCCTTTAGTCTAACCAGATGGAATCCACTCTTTCAATCAACACAATTTTTCCATCTTATATCCATAGTCTGTCATAGTCTAAGCAGCTATTGGGCAAAATTTCTATTCAGATCCTGATATGCTATTCTTCAAGGAGTTCAAGGAACTCAGGATTCATTCTTAAAACCATGAATCAGGGGGGGACGACAGTTGGGCAGAGTGGGAGGGAGTAGACCAAAGTTCCTTAGGGAATTCCTTGGACCAAGTTCAGCATCAGCCTGGAATTCCTTAATCCAGAAAAAAAAATGCAAACAAGCAAAAACGTGTTGTGTGGAATGCCTGCATCTAAATATTCTTTCTACTCCAAGAGGAAAGGACCACAAAGTTCCCTTACCTGGACAACTATCATGGGCCCAATCACATTGGTTCTGTAGGTCTCAGCCATGCTCTCGGGTGTTTCAGTCTCCAAGCTGCTGCTATTTACAATTCCTGCATTATTAATCAGGAGGTTCAATCCTGCCCCTTTTACGCATTCTGTGACTTGAGCTGCGGCAGCCTTGACGCTAGTTGGATCATCCGCGTCTACAGGAAAAAGAAATGTAGGTTATTCCATCTCCAACTTTGCATACCACATGGTAGCCCAATAAATATACTTGTATATAAATATACTGTCTTATAATAAAATGACTGTCTTGTAGAAACCTGTGAGAGTAATCTCAAGATTGTAGAGACTTGTCATCTAACGCTTTTGAAAAATGCTGGTGTTCTTTGCAAAGCCCATCAAGATAAGGCAGTATCTGAGTTCATACCTTTTATTAAACTATGGATGGGATAAAGCTTTGACCGGAAGACATAATTTACTGAAAACGTGCCTCCCCACCTCTGAAATAGAAAGTATGTATGAGAGCAGCATGATTGATAGGGTTTCTGTCAGTGATGGGATTCAGTTTTTTTTACTACTGGTTCTGTGGGTGTGGCTTGGTGGGCGTGGCAGGGGAAGGATACTGCAAAATCTCCAGTCAGAGGTGGGATTTGCCAGTTCTCCGAACTACTCAAAATTTCCGCTACCGGTTCTTCCAGAACTGGTCAGAATCTGCTGAATACCACCTCTGGTTTCTGTGTTGCATTCCTGAATCAATGTTTGTAACTCTGATTATAGCTTAGCATATCATACAAACCTATTAAATTGCAATTCACCTAAGTAGGTGATACAGAAGTGTTGTTTGGCCAGTTATGTGACTTGGGTGGGACTGAATGGCTGAAAAACAACTAACCTTGCATTAGTAAAACGTTACACAGAATAGTTTCTCTAAGCCAAAGGCTGATTGGTACAGCTAGATGGATCATCACCTTTATTAGATATGCAAACTACTAAACTCATATAGGTCTCTTATATGAGGGTCAAGGAGCAACAGTGAGAATTGGACACGGAACTACTGATCGGTTCAAAATTGGGAAAGGTGTCCAGCATCCAGCTGTATACTGTTGCCCTGCCTATTTAACTTATATGCAGAGCACATCATGAGAAAGGCAGGGCTAGATGAATCAAAAATTGGAATGAAGATTGCCGGGAGAAATATCAACAACCTCAGATATGCAGATGATACCACTCTAATAGCAGAAAGTGAAGAGGAATTAAAGAGCTTCTTGCTGCAGGTGAAGGAGAGTGCAAAAGTTGGCTTGAAACTCAACGTTAAGAAAACTGAGATCATGGCATCGGCCCTCTCAATTCCTGGCAAATAGAATGGTAAGAAATGGAGGTAGTGACAGATTTTATTTTCCTGGGCTCCAAGATCACCGCAGATGGGGACTGCAGCCAAGAAATTAAAAGAGGCTTGCTCCTGGGGAGGAAAGCTATGGCAAATCTAGACAGCACACTAAAAAGCAGAGACATCCCCCTGCCAAAAAAAGTGCATATAGTCAAGGCTATGGTTTTTCCAGTTGCAATGTTTGCCTGTGACAGTTGGACCACAAGGAAGGCTGAGCGCCAAAGAATTGAGGCCTTTGAACTCTGGTGCTGGAGAAGACTCCGGCGAGTCCCTTGGACTGCAAGGCCATCCAACCGGTCAGTCCTAGAGGAGATCAACCCTGACTGCTCTTCAGAAGGCCAGATTCTGAAGATGAAACTCAAAGACTTCAGCCATCTCATGAGAAGGAAGGACTCCCTGAAGAAGAAAACACTATTTGCACTAATGCTGGGAAAGATTCAGGGCAATAGAAGAAGAAGGGGAGGACAGAGAACGAGGGGGCTGGATGGAGTCACTTGAAGCAGTTGGCGTGAGCTTAAATGGACACCAGAAGATGGTAGAGGATAGGAAGGCTTGGAGGAATGTTGTCCATGGGGTCACGATGGGTCGGACACGACTTCGCAACTAACAACAACAACAAAACTCACCGCCGAGCTTTGTGTGACAGTTCCTCCCAACAATACCCCCAAATTTGCTGCCAATACCATATATAAATTTGACAGAAATGAGAAAGTCGTAAGTTACTGCTTGGATACTGATCTTCCAATGCACACGCCCAGGAGAATGCAGGTTTCTGGTAGCAGATCGAGCTGTTTGGGGAATCTCTTTCTGGAATTCTGCCTAAACTGTATAAACTACCAATTGTAACACAAGGCAATGTTTACCTGCTCTGATGTGGGTGTATGGAAATATTGCTTCCTTGATCTATTGTGTTGCTAAATTTCAGTTATTTTCCCTCTTAGCTAAAGAAGAACCAAAAGGATTTGCAGAACACATACCCAATGCGATGATGATAACTTGTGGGTGTTCAGCAGCCAAATTCTTCAGGTCCTGAAAGGAAAAAACCCACAAACTTAGCTCCTTTATAGATAGCTATGGCAAATATGTTTCGACTAATTGTTTCCAGAATTGCCTTCATGAGAGGCAATTCTGATAAACAGTGTCCATTGTGTCGCAAAGGCTCAGAACGGAGTGAAGAACTAAAAAGAACCACAAGACTTTTACAGGGAGGGCAGGGATAGCAGGAGCTTTCTAAGTTGGCTCTGAACAAAAAGTCCTTAGCCCAGAGCAGCACATTTTGCAAGTGGCTTATTTGAAACAGGATAACAATTAAAAACAAAATGTGATGAAATTCCACACGGGCTGTTAAGATTTACAAATCTCTCTCTCTCTATCGTGTCTAATCATGCCTGCACCATTACTACCTAGGAGATAAGCGAATTTCCATTACAGAAAAAAAAAAATCTTTGTTCTTCCCACATAAAGTTGAAGGTACCCCAGGCCTCACCTGAGCACGGGGTCCAGCCGGGTCCCGGCAAGTTGCAAAGATCCATTTTGGAGGGTTGCTCCTTTTTGCCAGCTGCCTGACCAGCTCCAAGCCGAGTCCTCGATTGGAACCAGTCACCAGAACGCTCTGCGGATTCAGTTGTTCCATCTCTCTTGCCAGACGAGGCCAACTAAGAAATCGCTCTGTGCACTTCCTTAAATATTACCGCAACTGGGTTCATTGCCAGTCCTTCCACCCACGTTATTTGACTTGCAAATAATATGCCTGAAGAAAATTAGAAGGGAGGAAATTGGCAAGCACTGCCAGGGTTTTTGCCCAATCTTGCAGTAGGTTTTTTTGTTTTCTTTCTTTTTTTCCCTTTTTCCCCTTCTGCGCAGCTGTTTCTCTTTTGCTATGTTCAGTGGGCATGTTTTTATTTGAAGAACATCTTCTGTGTTTTCTCCCCTGAAGAAAAGCAACCAAACCCATCAAACCCAAGATAATTTTAGCCTGACGTCTGAATGCTCAATGCTTTGTGGGTTAAAATAACATCTATTCTCAGATACAGATAGGTAATTTGGAATATAGGTAGATGATAGATAGATAGATAGATAGATAGATAGATAGATAGATAGATAGAT